CAACCGCGGGTTCAATTCCAGCCTGCGTGCCTCCACTGCATGCCGTCCCCCATGCCCCAAACTGTCCTGTCATTAAAGGCAAAAAATCTAAAATAATCCAACTTTATTTGCAAAACATTTTGATTTCATTGTCAAAATATGATTTTACTTTTAAAAAATATGACTTTGTTCTTATAATTTTACAGATATATGATTCACAAAATACTTTAACTCTATTCTCAGTTGTTGTTTTTTTTTATGTTATCGAATAAATATTGATGCTTTACTAATCCTGGTTGTTTAGTTGAATTGGAGGTCAGAGGTCAGCGGTTGGTGACAGAGCAGCAGTCTTGGAGCTGGCGAACATCCAGCTGCTCAGATTTATCTCCGTACACATGCGTCCAGTTAAAGAACAGCAGCCTTAAACACTGACGGACTTCCTCTGCAGCCTCACAGAGATGACGAGCAGCAAAACAGAAACGTGTGACAAATCCAGTTAGAAATGAATCTTCCCAGTGCACATGGGCGCACGGCTGCAGGCGTCACCATAATCATGTTTTTTTTTTGTCTTTTTTTTTAGGGAGGTGGGGGCGGGAGGGGGGGGGGGTGGATGATTTGAAACGGTCTAATTTAGGAAGCAGCTGCAGAGACAGACAGGACACAAGTATTGGTGTAGGCTACTGTAGTAATAAATAATTTACAATCCAGAGTCTGCTCTGCGACCCGGTGAGGGGGAGGAGGACTGCTGAGGAAACTGAAGATCAGGGGAGCAACGTGGAGGAGATGAATGTTGACGGGGGGAGAAGAAGGAGGAAGGAGGAAGGAGGAAGGTCAGGTGGTGTAAAAACAAAGAAAAATACATACAGACAAACAAAGATGCACTTTATTTGAGATGAATGGGACTTTCCACAGAACACAAACCGACAGGAGGACAGTGAGTTAATTTCACACTGCTCATACTCGAGACGAAGTGGGTTTCTTCTTTTGAGAAGTGGTTACCATGGTTACAGATGACAGCCAGGAAGATAGGAGATGGCAAACATGACGGCTAAATGGCGTATTGGACATTTGATTTGCAAAGCTTTCAGCAACTCTGCGGTGAAGTTTTATAACTATTTGCTTCTGAGAAACTTTCATGTCTGAGCTCTTGGTGGAAAACGTGTTTTTGTCTCCAGACGGCCTTTAACGACAACGTTTCATTTTAAAGCTGCTGGATTTTCCGTCACTCTGTCTGTCTGTTCTCAACCACGTGCTTTTAGTAAAGCTGCAGCACCGCGGTGGAGAATGTGCTGTCACAAATAAAAATGCTGCATGTAAAAACTGAGGTGCAAATTTTCTCCAGCTCAATGAGACAAAAACTAAAGTTAATTTATTTCAATCAGGAGAGACAGGAGAGTGAAGTAAAGATAATATTTAATACAGGATATGAGTGTACAGATTAACAGATGATTTGTGCTGATTGAGAATTAACAGAAGTCTTTGGCGCATTTTGGGATCAAGGGACATCTGAGCAGCAGCAGGATAAATCCACTCATGCAGTCCAGACACTGGTGGTGGTGGCTGATGACTCTGAAGCTGATGACTGATGAGGCTGATGAGTCCGTAACTACTAGATGGTGTTGGGGAGGTGGAGGGGGTGCATGATGGCGGCAAGAAAGAGCTACAGCAGAGAAAGAGTTATATTCAAAGTGTGTTGCTGCACTATTGGTTGATTGTGAATCGGCTGATGACTCAATTGACCTACTCAGACAATAACACCTGGAGATAGTGAGTGAGCGTAGAGTCGTTGAAATCCAGCACTTGGACAGTGACTTGCGGCGTCAGAACCCATCGAAAAAAGGCGTCCTTTAATGTCGCCATGATACGCCACTGGTTGCCATTTTAGTTTAACAGCGGGACAAGGATGAAAGTTAAAGCGACGAAAGTCCTAGTGGGGCAGGCGGTAGAGGTGGTGGATGGGTCCAACAAATACCGACTCTCACATGAGAGACGTGTTAGCGTCCCGTAAAATTAGAAAACCAAACCCTGTTCTGTTTTCCTAAACCCAGCCACGTGTTTGTTGTTGAAGGAAAAAAAACATCAATTCGAGAGTTTTAACAAGGTCGAAAAAGATCGACAACTGAGATTGTCTAAACAAAGACTTCTGTTTGTCCCAAGATCCAGGACTAAGTATTACAGCAATATATAAAGTCATTAAAATGAGCTCCACCTTTTCAAGCAACACATCAATGCATCAATAATTATGATATAATATGTATTATTCTGTATAATGAGAGCATTCAGGCTACTTTTGGTACTTTCGCTTAAGTTTAAATCATAGAAGTTAGATGAATAAAATCATTTAAATTCAATTTCATTTATTTGACTCAAGACGATATCATATGGTATAAAATACAAACATAACACACAATTATAGCTGCTGCGCAGCGATGGGTCGGGTCCGGGCATTTTTAGGCAATTCTGAGCAACAAGCAGAAGAACTGGAAGACATTTAGGAATTTAGCAACACAATCTGCCTTTTGCATCAGCTGAGGCTTGAACTCACAACCTCTGAAACTAAGAATCAATTTCTATCTCACTGAGCTAATTAGTCAGTGACAATTCACGTGTAGCTTCACAAATTCACTAAGCCAGACATGCAGCTTTAGCAGCCGTCCATGCATGGAAAAGCAGATTTCAAACCACTGTAAAAAATTCAGAAACAAAAATCTGAAAATCCACATATTGCATCTAGACTGCATGGAGATGTTGGTAATTTGTTTTTAATAATGATTTATTGGCTCCATAAGTGAAAAACTGATGTTTAAAATTGCCATTTTTACATTGACTCCAATTGTTCACATGAGAGCAAAATTCAAAATGCTGTCAAAAATTCAGTTTTTGAGATAAAATTCTGAAATTTGCCACACATCATCTACCATGACTCTAGAATTTTGTCTTTTTTTTCATTGAACATTGAAGATTTATTTAGCAAGAATTTGCATGTATATGTTTACAGTACCGTTTACAGTCAAACATTTTGATGCACTGTAGGCTCAATTTTTGATAAATCAAATCTGTGAGGACATTATGGGGAGGACAGTCTGAAGATGCTCTGTAGCAAGTTTGGTGTCGATTGAGCAAAAATTGTGGGAGGAGACAGGTTTAAGAAGTTTTACAGTTTTTGATAAAAACAGTGATGAACTTAATAATTTTTAATAGGTTTAAAAGTACAAAAGTTTCTTCAGTATTGGGGCTACAGTTTGATGAAAGTTGTGAAGTTGTAGCACATATGGTTGATTTGTTATGAATTTTCAAAGTTTTGAACTTTAGACGCTTGCTGTAGCACCACCATAAAGACTATTGGCTTAAGTTTACAGCTGAGGATATCTGGCATGAGACTGGACCTTTGTGCAAAGTTTGGTGAGTTTTCACCCATGGGAAGTATGATTTCCTCGGAAGAAGAAGAAGAAGAAGAAGAAGAAGAAGAAGAAGAAGAAGAAGAAGAAGAAGAAGAAGAAGAAGAAGAAGACGACGACCTAGGATTATAGTGTTCTGGCAGTTTAGCTGCCCGGACCCTAATAACAGAGCTACGGCACACAGCGTGGCTAACGTACAACAAATGTTACTTAAACAAAGGAAAGACATTCTCTTTCAGCTTATCTGATTGTTGTAACAAAACTAATTTAAACATAGATGGGTGATTTATATAATACTTTTGCAAATACCTTTCTCTGTAAGTCATTAAGCTTCTGACATTCAAACTAAATATGATTCTCATCTCCCACAGATTATCATCACAGAGGCTGCAGATCCTCTGGTTTCTGTCCAGCTCTTTATATCTTCCAGTGACTTCAGGAATTCTGCTGTTGTTTACTCCAAAATGACAAACAGCCTGTCTGTACGTTTGGTTTTCATGCAACAGATACCTCTCCAGTTTAAACTCTTGTTTAATTTCGACATATGTCATACTGCTGAGCTCACTTTGCCACTTTTGTATAAACTGATCTTTTGGCCTCTGTTCAACAGTTAGTTTTAATCACTTCTGTGTGAGACGAGCCACATTCGTCCAGTATCTGCTGAACCTGTAGACCCATGGTGACACATATACACCTGTATCGTGCAGGCTGTCGTATAGTTGTACATTATCTGACTGTGTTTAGGTACTCTGCCCTCTATCAGCCTCTTCCAGTCACCAGTAGTTCTCTTTTTAACTGTAATACAGACTGGATATCTTCATTACTTGCCATAGACCAGAGGTGTCAAACTCATATTTACTTCGGACCAGTAAAACCACTGTAGAATAACCTGGAAAAAATAACAACCTTCACATTTTTCATTTTATTTTAGTGTAAAGTACACATACATTTTAAAAACATGTATGTATTAATAACAGATGATGCCTGAGATATCTTGTGCAAATTCAACAGTAGGTCTCAGTTTTTCCACATTCAGTCAATGTACGACTCGCTGTCGTTACATTTTTCCAAACATTTCCATTCTTTTGCAGTAATGCTGTCATCAGTGCACCAAAGTAAAGTGGAAGCTATTGAAGAAGCAGGTTAAGTCGTCCCCTGCCTCACAAACCATTTACATATCTAAACTTTTGGTAGTGCCTTAGCTGCAGGGTTTCACCAGAAGAGTCTGATGCAGATTCTTTTGTACTGAAGCTGCTGGTTGACAATAATTTGCACAATTCAACATCTTTAAATATGACCACAGTAAGTATTGATTGTATTTAAACTGTATTCTGGTCAGTGTGTAAAAGCCTCTGAAGCAGCATTTTACATGAAGTAGGATACTCTTTTAACTTGCTCCTGAAAGCTGCACCTCTTAGTCTTAATATATAAATAGGCCTATAATAAAAAGATAAAATAAAGTAATAATAATAATAATAATAATAATTATGTTGTAAAAAAAAATAAAATAAAATAAAAAATAAAACAGAAATATACTGTATTCTTTCTAATAAACAACACCGCCATCTTGTGTCTGAACGTCCGCCTTACATCCTAGACGTAAAGCGTGGAGGGGGCGTTTCTTGTGACGTCATCACGGTGACCCCGACGTTGTTGGACTCTGGACGCTCTGGACTGCATCGGCGGGGAAGTTAGCAAATCAGTTGAGCACAACTTTCAACCAAATCCTGCAGTTTAACAAGGTGAGCACATCGGAATTGTTGTTTTAATCAGTTTATATTCACTGTCACAACTTATTAAGAGCTTTAATTTAAACAAGACACTCGTAAAATAGCGGCTAACACACGAGCTAACTTGCTAATCTCTGCATGCACGCCCCCTGATATGGGACACTGTACCCCGAACCCCATTTAAAATATGAGATTTTAAAATTCATTTGCTTATAAATAGAGTATAAATCCAGTTGAAGTTATGTTAATATATTTTTTTTGTTCCGAAAGATGTTTTGGACAATTCGGCATGTAGAAGATTGATCTAGCAAAACGCTGTTTGACTTTACAGCCGTTTTTGTATGTGCTTCATTGTGGTCGCTACCAGCAGCTTAACTGTTAATTAGATAAATTAAAATAGTGGTAAACAGTAGTGAACAATCGGCTGCAGGTTGTTGTGCAGAGTTTGGTCAAGATAATTTAGTTTTTAGCTAATTATTGCTAACTTAGTTTCATATTTGCAGTTACAGTCCGCCTGCTATTTTTACATGCAACTGTGAGGTGACCACACGTCACGTTGTGGTGTTATCAAGCTGTGCAGAATGAGACAGTTTACTCACACTGGTACTGTTAAATCATAGCAACCTAAAACTTTTGTTTTAGGTAGGTATTGCTATTGTATTTATCCGCCTGTGGAGGAGAGACTGTATTTGTATTGAGTCACTGTAAGCTTAATGTGTCACTCTCATAAATTCCCCCATGGGACAAAAGATAAAGATAAATATGTGCTGGGCTTTTTGTTAGAAATCCCACAATGCAACGCTTCACCTTTGCTCCTGAGATAACAGACCTGTGTATTACTGTTATCTGACACTATATTTCACAGTTTAAACTCTAAATGAGTTGTTGAAATGGGTGTTTGTTGCTGTGCCGCTGTATTTTGAAAGTCTAACAACAAAAACAAAACATTGTAAACCTCATTAAATCAGTTGAAACAGCAGTAGTACAATAATGGACTGTGTTAATTACTCTGCGTCTTCCACAGATCAACGATGGCCCTCACACAAGTGTCCTCCAACAAGTGCGCTGGCGGCTTCCAGAAGGTTTTCGAACATGAGAGGTGAGATCACAGCTGAACCTTCACGTGTTCTAAGAACATCCACACCTCATGGTACGTGTCCACAGGGGCGTTTTTGGATGCGAGGGGGCTGCACTGTGCCCCAGCATTAATAGGTGTACAACTAGGTATGTGGGCTGTCTGCTCCCAGATTTGAAACTGGACCAAGATGGCAGCTTGTTGGCATTTTTCTTTTACATTACAAACATTTGAGATGAGAAATAAGCCATGCGGCTGCTGAATCTGAGTATTTTGGAGGTTTCCCGAGGCAGCGAGACATGCTGAACGTGCCTGATTTGCATGAAGTCGTTTAGACTCAACTTTATGCACATGAGGAGCAGACGCCCCGTCTCGAAACAAAAAAACACCCAGTGCTACCAGAACGCACTGCACAGCTGCTTACATAGACAATAAATGGTAGACATGGAAATGACGGATCCTGTGAACACGTACCATCTCGACACACACACGCACACAGCTGTGGAGCTATGAACTCGTGTGTTTGTGTTTTCTCAACGCAGCACTGAGCTCAAGTGTAAGATGAAGTTTGCCGTCTACCTGCCTCCCAAGGCTGAGACCGACAAGTGTCCCGTCATGTACTGGCTCTCTGGTGAGTGAGCAGTCTGTCCCAAGGCCCCTCAGGTGTGCTGGTCTGCGTCTTTTAACTGCTTTTTTCAGTTCTTGTTCCTCTACTTAGGAACAGCCTCCCACTGAGCATCAGATCAGCTGACTCTGTTCACGTCTTTAAATCTCGTATGAAAGCTTACTTTACAGAATGGCCTGTCCTGACAGTTGATAGACTTATTGTGTGTCACCAGACTTACCATTTTAATAGGTCAAAACTAAAACCAGTTTCCTTGAAACAAGTTTAATAATTTAATGCGGACAGTGTTTGACAAAATGATTTATCTTTGACAAGTAGAAATAAGATTAAATAATCCCAGAATAAGAGTTTCCATTCTGTGTTTCTCTGCAGGCCTGACGTGCACGGAGCAGAACTTCATCACCAAAGCTGGCAGTCAGCTTCCTGCTGCAGAGCACGGCATCATCATCGTCGCTCCGGACACCAGCCCACGTATGAAAACACACACGCAGTAAAACAACAGTAAAACAAATGGTGCATCATTTCTAGTCAACAAAAAATAGATTTAGATGACCTCCTGTCTCCACCATGACTGTTTCCCCTCCTGCATCAGGCGGCTGTAACATCGAGGGCGAGGATGAGAACTGGGATTTCGGCACTGGAGCTGGTTTCTACGTCGACGCCACGCAGGACCCCTGGAAGACCAACTACCGCATGTACTCCTACATCACAGAGGAGGTGTGTTGGATTTATGTCACCTGAAAAACTCACTTGTCAATTTTACTTTGAGCTAATTGTGACGATTCTCTGTCTCAGCTCCCCAAACTGATCAACGCTAACTTCCCCACCAACCCAGACAAGATGTCCATCAGCGGTCACTCCATGGGCGGGCATGGGGCGCTCATCTGTGCCCTGAAGAACCCTGGGAAATACAAGGTACGACCTCAGAGAAGCTTCTGTCTTCTATCTCTCTTCATTGTTCTGTGTATTAGTACATTTAGAGCAACTTTAAACCAGAGTGTGTGAGCACTCTGACGCTGGTGTGTCTCTTGCAGGCTGTGTCTGCGTTTGCTCCCATCTGTAACCCAATGCAGTGTCCCTGGGGACAGAAGGCCTTCTCAGGATACCTGGGCTCTGACAGGTCCACGTGGGAGGTACAGTAGGAGCTCTGCATGCTGCCGTCCTGATAATAACTGTAATAAAGATGACACACTGAGCTTCTCACAGAGAGCAGCTGCAGCAGTTGCAGCACTAAGAATAAAAGAGTCCAAAGGAAAGAAAACCTGTTGAAACTGTCAGTGAAAGTTTGAATCTGTCTCAGTCGTGTTTCAGCTGTTTGATGAGTGATGAAGGATCATATGAGTTCTCCAGCTTCCTGTTGTCATCCCTCCTCTTTCCTCCTTCAGGCGTACGACGCCACCGTGTTGGCGGGAGCGTACTCTGGCCCTCAGCTCGACATCCTGATCGATCAGGGCCGTGACGACCAGTTCCTGTCAGCCAGCCAGCTGCTGCCTGACAACCTGATCGCCGTCTGCTCCGAGAAGAAGATCCCCGTCGTCTTCAGGCTGCAGCCGGTCAGTTCCGTTAGTCTGTTGTTCTGACACTTGCACAAAGGGTTGGTACTGTTCACATTTGAACTTGCTGGTGCTGGTACCTTGAATTCGTTGCTGGCACCCAAAAGCTCTGTTTCCACCAAACACTGTCAGTTTGGTACCTTTGGAACCAACAGTAACCCTTCAGACATGGTACCTAGACCCTAGCATACATAGAAAATGAAGCAATGTTAATTCTGCTCTTAATTTGTTTCATTTTCTCTCTTAAAATACCCCAAAAGAACCAATAAGAGTATCGTTAAAGTACCAGATCCATAAGCAGTATTGCTAAGAGTAGTAGTATCATTAAAATCTTAATAACACCCATCCCTGCTATAAATAGAGTTTTGCACCTGTATGCTGAACCTTGAGGTGGTGGGACAAGATTTTCATATCTGAAGCACTGTGGTTTCTGTTTGCAGTCCGAGTTGTATTAACCTGTCTCATTCAAGCAGCAGATTAACAGTTTGGAAAGGCAGGGAGACAAGAAGTTAGCTGTATCTAAGCTTTTCTACATGTATCTGCTTTCATATGGAGATATCTGTTTATAGAGATTAGATTAAATGGCCGTCTCACTGAAGAGGAAGTCTTGAACCATATATCTGCTGGATCAGCCTGAAATATTGTCCGTTGCCCCCAGAGTGTTTATCGTCTTCACACCTACAGCTGATGGAGTCTGAGATTGCAGCAGTAGTACCGTCTCCGTAGTTACTAAATTCAGCTGAAACTGAGTCTAAAAGTGAAGTACTTTATGAATCTGTTTCCTCAACAGTGTCCTCTTTAGCTGCAACCTGCTACATCTGCCAGGTTTGCACTTCACAAAACAGAATTTGAAGCTCTGTGATTAGATGTTTCTTACTAAATGCACCCTGGGAGTCATATACAGCTGACTTTTTTTTTTTTTAATTTCTATCAAGGAACCGGATGTTTTCGAACACGGGTGTTAATCTTTTCTTTTAGGAGCTAGTTAAACATTTCATAGTGTGAGTCTGACGCTGTGTTTCCTGCCGCAGGGCTACGACCACAGCTACTTCTTCATCTACTCCTTCATGAGCGATCACATCAAACACCACGCCAAGTTCCTCAATGCCTGAACTGCTGCCACCACAGAAGAAGAAGACTGTTCAGCTCTGCTCTCCTGACATCAGTCGCATGACTTCCTGCTGAATTAACTACACTAACATCACCTGTTCCCTGGTGATTAAATTCTATAATGACACAAGTCTTGTTCCTTCAATTCAAACAGAACTTATCTAAAGTCTCTCATAACACCAAGATTTGATTTAATTATATTTGCTCTGTGTCATTTGGAGCCTCGTCAGTCGCTCAGTGTTTCTCAGACAGCAGAGGACAAGTTTTCTGTCAGTGTCGATTTTTAGGAGTGTGTCAGTGAGCAGTCACAGCTGTGTTTTTCAAAATAAAAGCCTTGTTTTGTTCATTCAGGTGTTTTTGTTCTTATTAAAGTTTGTTGAGCTTCAGAGTGAAACTGTCCACACCATCTCCATCACAGTCACAGGGTTTCCTCTATACTAAAGTTTATTATTATTTTTTATCTTAATTGAAAAAATAAATTTCATATACAAACACTGCAACAACATAATAGTACAGAGAAGCACGAGTATGAATTTAAACCTGTGATTTAAACAAAAAAATGTAAAAAAAGAATAAAATTAGGATAAACTTCATTGATATAAAACTATAATAAGGACAAAACATACTTGTTTAAATTCACCCCACAGTTTAACAGTTTCATTACCTGTTTTTAATGTTATAAGTTTGACAGTCTATATATTCCTTAAATTCATATAAAAATCCAGTGAAGTTGGTGTTAACTTTGTGATTTTATGTTGATGTATGTCAGATTCACCATAATATATAATGAGCTTACAACAAATTCAGTGTTATATGTATCTTTTTTAAAAATCTACAGTAGCATTTTTATACTCAATTTTGATTTATGATCAGTTTTACACAATAAATAATCTTTATTTGAGTCCAAAGGTAACTGAATTATATAATAGTAAAGTAAATGTGTGTAAATCTTTGCAGAAAATACATTTGTTTCCAAGAATTTGGAGAAAAATAGATTTGTTGCATGTATTATGAGTAAAATTTTCATGTGTTTCTTTCATTTTTCATGTGTTTTATTTTGAGCACTGAAAATACTTTTTTTTTTAAATTATTTTGATGATTGCATGGTCTTCATTTTTGAGAGTGTGCTCAGTAAGTGCAGCCAACATAGGATTACACTGTAGAAGGCCTAAGCACTCACAACACCCAGTGTCTGATACACACACACACACACACACTCTGTCCATTGTCTCCATTGGACTTCACATAGAGTATCAGAGTCACACTATGTGAATCATAAACCAGATATTATTAATGTTGCATCACTGCCATCTTCTGGTGTTCATGAACTCCTGCAGGTTCATTAACTCAAGTTCTGTACTTAGCTTTTAATTTTATTAGAGTATTTCCATTTTATATTACTTTATACTTAAGGCCAACTGCATCTCATAAAGGAAGTGTCGTACTTTTTACAGCTTTAATTTCTAGTTACTTGATAAATTAGTATTTTACATAGAAAGCAAAGAGTGAGTATGTGATTTACAATGGTGCAAAATAACAGTGCATTTACTGGAATACTGTGGCTAAACACCATTTTTAGTACTTGTTCTTTACTTGAATATTTTCATTTTATACAATTTTCTACTTTATAAGTAACTTTATACTGATGGGGAGCTAAATAATTGGCTATTATAGATATATGGAGAAGGGGTGGGAATAAATAAGTTTGTACTTCCTCCAGCTCCTTTTTGAACATGTAAATTAAATCAGTATGTTGTTTTCAGTGTTCATGCTTCCTTTAGTAACCTGTTTTTCTATGTCTGTCTACTACTGTATGATTATTTTATTTGCTACTTACAATTTATTTATTTTATTTTAAAACTTTATTTATAATGCAGATTCAGATTTGATATACTAAATTTTATGATAATAAAAGCTTATAAAATCTATTATTAGAGATTTCAAACCAGTGGACTTTCACTTTTTGACTTTTTACTTTCGGGGGAAACCCGCCGACATCTGGCAACCATCCCCGTCTGTCCGTTGAGTTGTGTTGATGTTGTCCCGGAGCAGCTGTGTGAACACACTCATCAAGGTGACCGCAGGTAGCCGGGTCTGTACCGGAACATGAGTGTGTTCGACTTCAAAATAAAAGCCAAAGAATCTATTGTGTGAAATTGTCCCACCAAATTGTCCCAGCTTTATCACCCGGTTTAAAACATTTGTTAAAAAAGTAATCGAAAAAAATCTAATGTAATACGTTACAGTACTTTAATGATGAGTTACATTACATATTACTTTTTTTTTAACGGCGTAACCATTAATATGTAATTATACATTGCTATTACATTTTAAGAGTAACCTTTCCAACACTGGCAAATAGTGGCATCCTAGTTTGACTTCTGTAAAGTTAAAGATATAAAAACTTTATAAACGTACACTGTTAATATTTGCACAAACCTGTACAGAGTGAACAGCTGATCCACTTAAAACACATACATATTTAAGTATTTCTTATATTTTCTCATCTTTCAATTGTAATTTCTTTAAATCATTCCCCCTATGTTTATTATTAACTGCCAAACTACCAAGACAAACTCCCTGGGGGCGGGGTTGCAATACTTTTTCAGTATTGGAGAAGGATTTCTGGTTTTGTTTTGGCTGAGGAGAGGGACGTACAACTTTTAATGGTTATATGTTGCATTTATTTTCTTTTTTTACTTCCCTCTGAACCCCAAAACACATCAGTGACTTTGTATGGCATGTTTTCTTTGAAAAATTGCCAAAATTGCAACTTTTTTTTGTCTGTAAAACTGTAAAAACAGAAAACGGTTTAAAATTCCCAATAGTCCTTGAACACATCAGGTGAGACAAATGCTTTAGTCAGAAAACATGACTCAAGCTAAGCTTAAAATAATAATAATGATATTTTATCAAAACATATCTCACAGAAGATTTTGTAAAATAGAAACTGTTTGCATCACAACATTAAACTATGTGCTCTGCTTACATGACAAAAGTGTAAATATGGTTTTTACCACTTCAGGATTTTGTTTTCATCTTTTGACTTTTAAATCTTGATCACTGAGGAGCACATATTTTGAATTTAACAACAGCTGTTGTACTATGTTACTGCTGTTATTCTTGAGGCTGCTGCCACTGTTGCAGCTGCTTCTGTTTATTTGGGAAAACAGTCATTACATGCATATTTCTAATGCTAAAGTGGTTACTGTGGTGTGTGTGTGTGTGTGTGTGTGTGTGTGTGTGTGTGTGTGGAGCCTATTAAATGTTATTGGTTTTGTATGGGTGACTGTCATGTTGTGGCATGTTGCATTTTGAAGAAGAAGATGTACTTTATTAATCCCCAAGGGGAAATTAATTCTTTTTCACTCTGTTGTCATAAGCACACAGGCACAAATAGGACCTATACATGCATTAAATGGAGGGACGGATGTCAGAGATGCCAAAGGAGTTGTAGGTTTGATGCCTTCCTTAAGGGCGTTCGGTGGTGCCTATGAGGCAAACTGGCCCCTCTCCAGCCACCAGTCCACACTCCATATTTCGTCTGGACATGGACTTGAGCTGGTGACACCATGGTTTCCAACCCAAGTCCCTATGAACTGAGCTACTGCTGCTGCTTAGCTTATGATATTAGCTGTTTGTTTCTCTGTGCTGTTTGCTCGTTGCATTGGCTTCAACACATTTGGTGTGAGTATAATAAAATATGGTTATTTATGCTGGAAGGAAAGTCATACATTTTCCCTCAGGGAGGCTCAAAGAAATTTGTAGCTTCGGAGAGGGTCAAGATAAAAATACATAAATGAATAAATAAGTCACACCACAGCCACACTTATAACGAACAATCCCTAATAAAAGCCTTTCTGACTCTTCATTCTAACCGGAAATGTTGCCAGGTTTTAGCAGTTGTGCTTATATTTTGAAGCCAAACCGGAAGTAAAGTCGAAGCTCTCTTCCTGGCTTGACGCCGCCGTCCTTATCACAACAGATCAGACTTGGCCGGAGAGAAGTGCGTCCACTTCACTTCGGAGCGAATTCTCTCTGTTGATTTTTTTGTTTTTACAGTTTTTCCATCGTGTTTTTTTCTCGTCGGAGTTTGTCTGCGTCTCTTCCAGGATGGTTAAAGTGTCTTTCAACTCCGCGTTGGCCCAGAAAGATGTGAAGAAGGACGTCGAAACTCTGATTCCCGAGGAGGACAAAGTGAGTAGAAAATGGCTAACTGTGCTAACGAGAAGTTAGCCTCCTGCTCGGCGGAAGAAGACGCACTTTATACACACACACAATGACTTTATTTATATAAACTATGCATATATTTTAACTATATATGTCACTGAAACACTTTAAACAAAGCACACTGCGATATTTTAAAATATATTTTATAGTAGTGACGTAATTAGTGTTTGGCTACTTCATGATGTGGTTGTTAATGTTGTTATACTTCGATCAACTTGTTCATACAGCTGCGTTGTGTTTGCTAGTCTGACTTTTCTGATAATAATTCAAATATTAAAAGTTATAACACTTTTATAAGCAATTTTTCCAAACTGTGGTTAATTATTTTAAGCATGTTTTTCAGTTTTGTGTTTTGTAATACATGAAAATATGGTTAGTTAATGATTGACACACTAAAAAATAGCATTGTCTCTATATTAAAGAGTTTTCATATTATTTTCTAGCCAGAAATTCAGAGTATTAAGTGAAGCAACGTTCTGAAACTGAAAGTGTCTTGTTTTAATATTTAATTATCGCTTATAGTCTTTATTTTAAGCTGTTAATTGTCTTTAAAGTCAGTTTGACATCTGTCCTTTCTGTAATTTCTCTTCTTGTAATCTTAGCTGCTGTGTCTCGTTTCTGTTTTCACCTGTGCTCTTTTGTTTCCTCTGAAAACTGCGTCACTCTTGCACAAGAGAAAGTGGAAAATGTGATGAAATACATCATGCAGTCTGCAGAAATACAGATATATATAGCTGGAGTGGGTACCTTTTTTTTCTAATCATCTTAGCTAACAACATTCTGATACATTGGAAACTTTAAATTAGACAGAAAAGCTGGTGATCTTCTTAGATTTTAAGCCTCTGTGTGCTGCAAACAAAGAGGAAGCTTCCTGTCACATTACCTCACACATTAGAGTCCTGGAGAGGTTGAGAGTCTTGTTTTCCAGGATTGAAATGCTTTGGAAAACTGGGAGACATCATTAAAAGTTAGACAGGAAACATAAACTATAATTGTAGGTTTGTGATTGCTGGAAAATGTCGAAACAGCTGCTGTGAAAACAACATTTAGAGTGATGGTTTTGAAACTTCAATTCTAACTGGATTAATAATTCAGCCATGTGAAGCTGACTGGAGGTTTCAGCCTGCTGACTGCTCAGGCGTGTTGTCTCTCTAGGTCTAAAGTCTAGTTAAAACTCCTCCTGAGACATCCGTCCGTCTCCACCCTGTTGTGAAAGAAGCTGTTGCTGTTTCAGGCTTTCAGAGGAAGTTTCAGCCCAGTTTGAAAGATTTGAAAGAGTTTCTCTGCAGAGTAAATATGAGCTGTAGTTGTATTTTCTGTGCACACTGTCTGTGTTTCTGAGAAGAATTTATAAAAGAGGTTTAAAGTCGGGTGCCGAAGCAGCGTGATTCTCGTTAAACAGGTTTCAGATGTAGGTTTGTGTGATGTGATGCATATCTGCTGCCTTCCTGTGTGGTTACTGTGGTTGCAGACTGTACAGTTAGTTGAAAGCCGGGTTGGTTTCAGTCTGACTGGCTCTTATCGTGATAATCGGAGCTTAATGTTTTCCTTCTGGGGGGGTTGAAGTGGGTGCAAACACAGCAGATGTTGTACATGTTGTTTGGAGAGATTTTCCTGCACATGGCGCATCGTTTCCATTTGCACTGTAAGATAACCATGTGTCTGTCGGAGGGCTCCTGATGCTCACGTACACTGATGACAATTGCTCATTCCTAGGTCTTAAAAAATCATGAAAAATTTGAAAAAGCATGGAGATAAAGGCAATATTCTTCACTCCTGATGCTTCTGACATTGCATACTTTATAAAGTTGCGGATTTACTCAACATGTATCATTAAAATATGTTTATATTTGGGTCGTGACATGAGAAATAACCTCCAGTTACAGGGCAATATGATCTGGTTGTGTCATATTGCTTACAAGAATCCTATAATGGAGTTAAAAAGATAAAGTTCTGATAAATTCTCAACATTTATTGAGTTAGTTAATGTCATTTACTTCCAAAAATGTGAAATATTTCTTAGTTCCAGCATCTTGGTTGCAGGATTTTCTGCTTCTCCTTGTCTCATGTCATCGTAGATTGAATATCTTCTTGTTTCGGACATTTGGTTAGACAATAAAACACATTTAAAGATGTCACTGGACATTAGTTGGGTGTGATGGGTCACACAGCTCCTCCAGGCTTACTCACATACTTATTAGTCAATCAGATGAGTCTAATTTCAAAAGAAAAAGTCATCTCTTGTTACAACTGATGTCTGCAGAGCTGTGATTATCACAGTCTGATCCACGTTGCCTTCATGGAAACATTTCCATCATGGCGTCCATTGAGACAGGAGCACTGACTTTGTGTTAACTTCTGCCTCAGGTGATGATACACCTGAAACCTGATCACATTTGCAGGGCTGACCCAAATACTTTGAAGGTTTGATCGTCGCCACGGTAGTCGATGTCCAAGTCAGTATTCTGATGCTTTGTTTTTAATACCATTACCCCAAAAATAAACAGTTATCCAACGTAATTCGTTCATTGATTAGTTCTTCTCAGACAAGGATATGTAAACTTTGTTATAGGCCGAGGTTTGTGACTCCGCCATGGCAGGTTTACAGATATTCTACCATAGGAGTGTCCGAAAAATCAAGCATCTGGAATAGTTTCAAAATTTACAAAGGTAGCTTTCAAAAAGTCGAGTGTCAGATTCGCCAAAGGAAACTGGTGTACATCAAAACCTCAACGAGTTTGGCAAATCAGCTGAAAACTGTTCGGTAACAGCTCAGCCATCTTGTGTTCTCTCAAACTCAAAAACCATCCTCTTGTCTCCCTCCCGTGAAGCTGTGATCTATCGGGAGTATTTCTTAATGAAGCTTTAATGCCATAAAACTGGTATTCAGGGCAGCCCTAGAAAGTTGTAGCTTGTAGTGTACTGTGTCTGTAATAAGAGTCTGAATGTAGTGCTGCGTAAAGCTACATGTGGACTGTCATGTCTTTAGGATTCTCACTATTCAATCCTTGTTGTCATGGCCTAATTCAGAATACATTTTCAGCTCAATAAATAAGAGAGGAGACACATTTTCCAAACTGAATGTGGTTTTTGTGTTCTAGAGTTTGGACTATGGTACATTATAATACTCTGCTTCAACATTAGTACCAGTAGACCCACTCTGTCTGTCTGTCAGTCAGTTCAGACTCGAAGATGATAACGATGTGAATTCTTGTGAGAGTGGATTTCCCCCGCCTCCACACTTCTGGCACTGTGGGAGATTATAACATGATAATGAATCTGAAAGATTGTCTTCATTGTGGATAGTGAGCAGCTAAACTAAACATCATTTCTGCATTGTGCGTTTTACACAACATGAGCCTAAACATGGTGGTTTTAGTTTCCTAACCTCAGAAGATTTTTAGTTTCTTTTTGTCTCTCTCTCTCTCGTGCTTTCTCTTCCTGTTGTGCTTCTGCTTCTCTTTCTTTTAAATCCCTGGTTTCAACATGAAAATGTGCAAATAATTGTTTTATGTGACGAGTGAGGGGAGAAACAAATACTGTTCTGTAATGTTTTTACTTTAAATCTTTAAATATTAATTTGCATGTCTTGTCTCATCTCCATGTTAATGAGCTCCATCAGTCAGGCACTGAGCGGTTTGTGTTCCTCTGCAGGCTGTTTGTGTTCGTCCGTCTTTAACGAGTTAAACAGAGTTGAACCAATCAGCTAAAGCCTGCCGCTGAGACATTTATAGCCACACACAAAAAAATAAACCAAGCTAAACATTTAGGCTAAGCCTGTCGACATGCTTACTTTAGCTTTTCCCTGAGTCAGACATGCTGGGTGTGTCCAAACAGGGACGCAGGTTTCTTCCTGTTGGACATAAGATCCCAGTTTATATCTTCATCCATGGAGAAAAAATAACAGGACTCAGGCAGTGGTGGAAGACGTACTTTGGATCCTTTACTTCAGTGACTCTCAACCTTTGCCAGTAAAGGAATGGAGTTTGGTTGTTAGATATGATGAAGACCAGAATTGTGTAGTTATAATCATGGAGGGATTAAAACCTGTAATCAGTATGATTCTTACTCACACTGGGTTTACTTCTATAGTTAGTTAAGCAGTGAAACTAAAGTAAAAGTACTACTACCTCTCTTTGAATATACTGTACCTCGTCACAAGTAAAAGTCCTGTATTTAAAGTAAAGATACAAAATAAAAAGTTCTCATTTTGCAAAATGGCCCATTTCAGAAAAATGTATACAATATTATTGGATTATAATTATTGATACATTAATGTGTTCATCACTTTAATGCTGCAGAGCTGAAGGTGGAGCAGATTTTGATTTATTTATATTTTATATGTGTAAAATATATTTTATATACAGTAGGGATGCATGATGATATCGGCCAGCATGCTTTTTCTCAATTTGCACAATGAATAAATTCACATACATTGAAAAGTTTTGTATTTCATGTCTCCATCTGCTGGTGGGCAGTCATGATAAGAGTATGCATGTATAATATGATGTTAATTCCACTACAGAAGAGACTTGATGATCACTAAAATCGGGTGGGGAAAAAAGTGGATACATCTATATCAGTATCGGCTGTCCGCCAAATGTTACTAGGGATGAGCGCAATTAGTTGTCTAAATGATTAAACGTCCGCCCCCTCACTAGTCGACACAAGAAATATTAGTCGATTACATGAATTAGTGTTTTATTCATGTACAAGGGCGCGTAACTGTCATGCAGCCCCCCGCCACTAATGGGGGCTACAGAGCTGTCAGACAGCAGTCCCCCTCCCCGCGCTAATGCTCAAGTAGACTGGAGTTTTAAAACGGCAACGGTGGGAAATTGGAGAGACGTCCTCTCGCAAAATCAGCAGTTTGGCAGAACTTTGATCTAGAAAATGTAAACAAGGTACCACATTCAACTCAAGCATTTGGATGTTAACCTGCACAGAATGACGGCTGCTGCTAGCGG